AGAGAGAGAGAGATGAGTGTAAAATTGCGATTTTACAGCTTATTTTATATTTAGTTAATATTAATTATATTTATATTATAGATTTACTTTTACTATTTAGTTAAATCCTAATTTATAGGAATCAAGTTTTATTTATATGCTAATATGGAATTAGTCTATTACATATTATGTAGAGAGATTATTTGTACATATAAACTGCATATGGTATGTATATTAAATTTATACAAGTACAAATCTAATTTTACATTAATAATAAGATTTAACAAACAAAATAAAAATCATACAAATATTGATGATCATTCAATTTGCCGATGTGCTTAATACAATAACAGTAGTTAATTTTATGAAAATATGTAATTATTACAATGTATAATTTATACCTTAATCTATGGTTACTTTAAATATAATTTTAAATATTTTATTATAAAAGCATTTTAACAAGTCCAGTAGATTAAAATAAACAACATAGACAAATTGAAGTATATTTTAAAAAAAATTGCAAATAAACACAATTTAGTAACTGTAACAAATGTAAGCTATCAAAATCTATCTAGTGTAAAACTTTTGCATATATCTCAGGAATTTTACAATTTTTTCGTCATTGTCGGTCGTTTAGGTCTTTGATAGTTAGCCCAAACCACACAATCCGAATCAACCTGTTATTAATAACCATATATTAGTATTATTATATTATAAATGCCAGAATTATTTTCTACTACTACTTACACTTTGCATGTTATATAAACTTTTATATTATAAATTTATTAAATATAAAATTATAAATGTTTTACCTGTTGTTCAAGCAGAATCCCAAATGCTGTAGTGTATAATCGACTAAAAATATATGGCTTACAATATACAAATGTTATGAATTGTATTTTATTAAGCTGCCATGGTACAGTAGTGGTGAGGTTCATTATCTTTTATCTTGCCTAGAAATGAGTTATCGGTGCAGACGTAAAACTGCACCATCACTGGGGATTGGTGATATAGCATATAGGGTACAGTGACCAACTACTAGCCCAGTAGATAGATAGTCATTCTACCACGTATGATTGCTTCCATACCCGGGCCGTATGACTCATCAAACGTGTACGATAAACAAAGTATATATGGTATGATCACATTGTGAATGTAATTACCGTGGTATAAATCCGCCCCATTCTCCCCAATTGCCTATATTGTTAAAAGCAATTACTATAAAAGTTAATGTATAATTAAAATTAAGTTTACATTATAATAAGTGTATATAATTCTTGGACGAATTCTTGCGAGCGATAGTTTTTGATTGCATTTTTCAAAAATGTCTTTCGGGTAGTGATCCGGGTCTTTGTCCTCCGAGTGGTGCCAAACATATATCAATTCATTTTTTTCTATTGTCTGCCATTTCTTTACCATAGCTTTTACTGCCTTCAGCTCAGAATCTATTAAACGTTTTCATATAATTAATTAAATATATCATGAATTTAATATAAAGTTTATATTAAAGCTAAAACTAATTAACAACTTTAGCATTAGTTATACAGTAATTGTGTGCTCAAGTAAACCATTGGTTTCCAAGCAATACATCGTTTATTAGGGACTTCATTGATATACACTATAACATCAGCACACAAAGGATTTTTTGTTACATTTTTAAAATGTTAGTATTTTAACATGTATTTAGTAACTAATTGTTTACTTAAAATTAAAATTATTTTATTACTTTTAATAAGTGATTGTATCACTAATAAGCGTTTATTTAAACTTTTAAAATGTTAGTGAATTTATATGTTTTAAAGGGATGTCGAATGCCACAATCATAATAATTAATTTATAAAAAAAAGTATAGGTATACAGTACACTGTACACAATGTACAGTGTACTATAGCCAAGGGACGACTTAGGTTGGTAATCTCGACATGGCAATTTTAAATAAACACCAACATTGAAAACTAATGCTAAAAGACCTATTGGTATCTAAACAAATCATGAAGTATACTTTAATATGCACTACTTGTGCATAGAAAGCATAATTTTGGTTGCTCTAACTACAGTATATATGGCAGGATACATAAACAATTATTATCATGAATAAAAGGAATTGTTAGGCACGTGTTGAGGCCATATAAATGTTAAGAATATAGCATTATATCAATTTAATGTAAATATAAATTAAATGTTTAAAAAAATTGTGTAAATAAATATAAGCAATAGTTTAAACATACGGTTAAGATTAGGTATGCGTTTGCACTGTCCGTCTCCGCCAAACCTCCAGCCATGGAATGGACACTGAATACAGTCGTCGCCCGACTCTGACTCAGTCACCACATGTCC